TTCATGTCTGTATCTCTTTATTTGAAGGCTCTGATACGATTTTTATTTATATAGTTTTTACATATATTCTTATTTTTGATCGGCATTATGTTACATCACCTAATTTTGATTTAATTAGGGCATCTCACACCCCAACAATTGTTGCTGCTGAAGAAAATCTTAAAATAAGTGTGAAGAAAAGAAATGCTTCCGATCTAGCATAGAATAACTTATCAGCCAATTTGGTTTTTTGGGTCTTTTTTCAAACCTTATGTCTTATTGTGTCTCGATGTTAAACACGAGTATTTTTAATGTGTAAACCGGTCGGTTGAATCATAATTACCCTAAAAAAATTATTTGCACCGCTAAAAAAACTAATTTACTATCCATCAACCTGTCAAACCAATGGCCCCACCTCAAAACCAATGGGTTTTTGCTAGTATAAAGTATTCATAACGTTATGATCATGCCGTACTGGATTTTGGGGTTCAAACAAAATCAGCACATATGACCAATATTTAAGCTAGCCTTTTCTTTTGACTGTTGTTAAAAGTCCCAGTCTGGCCCTAAAAATTTTATTATGGTTGAAAGTCACTTGTTATATGAAAAACGGAGATTTTTTTTTTGAAGTGGACGATAATAATTTTATTTGTATAATGTTTATATTGAATGACACTTGATCTGCCTGCAACTAATACCAGAAGAATATTAATCCAGTTTACTATAGCATTCACCTTTGATAACCAATTATTTTCAAGGTTGCATTATAAGTATTAACATCAATAACTATAGCCAATAATAGAATAATGATTCCTCCAATGGTTAATGGTAAACCATCTACTTCTCCCAAAGGTAAAATCTTTTGTCCATTCACATTAATGATCATTACAGAAGATTTCTGCAGTATCTTTAATCCTAGTTCATCCAACAAACCTTTATATACCATGCATGCTTCCAGCCACTCCACTGTCAACAATTATTGGAAAGCTTTTTCCATTGATGCTTGCTTTACAATACATGGCAGTTGATCCTATATCAGCATTCAATTATTCTGTTTGTTGTTATGTTCTCTTATTTCTTCTAGTTTGGGGAGTTCATAAATGCTTTTATAATTCCGATTTGTATTTTGGTACTGCTTAGAATAATTGTCCGAATGTGATAACAGCCTTTTGTTTCTTGATATCTGTTACTACTGAGTGTGGTTTGTTGGATCAAATTCGAAATTGGAGGTTAAGTAGCATTTATCTTTTCCCTTGATGGTTTCCTTGCAGCTTTCTTCTTTCCTTCTTTGGATCCTTCACCATTTTGTTTACTAGGCTCTTTCCTTCATCAAGAATCCTCCAAGGGTTCTGATTGAATCTTCATCATCAGGAAAATGGGTACAAATATTATGTGTATATAATACACAATTGCAGGGATTAAGCATATAATATGCATACAAATCGCGTATTTTTTTATGTATGCAAATTGTACATATATTATATGCTTAATCCCTGCAATTGTGTATTATATACGCATAATATTTGTACCCATTTTCCTGATGTATATAGTAATTCTTTACAAATTCTTTACAACTGCCATAGTAAATTCAATCTGATTGATCAACAATAATTGGAACAATTAATTGGTCAATGATTTACTATCCCACAATATCCATACTATAGACATCCAAGTAATATACTTAACCACATCAACAGGATACTCAACCATAGCAATTGAACATATACCCTTGTATTTATATTTATCATGCTACCTCCATGCCCAAGTGCAGCAAAGATGACTTTAAAAGCAACCAAGATTGTAATGTTCACCTGAATTGACAAATTCCCTGTGTATCTGAAACCATTCCAGATCCCAATCATATAGCTGAACCTAAATGGAATGAGCTTACAAAGTGTGAAAATGGTAGCAAATGTGATACTGGTGCACCTTTCACAATGACTTTAGTTAAGACCATAAACAGAGTTTTAGTGGTAATTATCATTGTGTCACACTGTAGTTGGAATACTCTTACCACATCCACCTCAGTTACGTTAAATTCTCCTTAACTTGGGTATAAAATAACCACATTTCTACCCAATCAAAATAAAAGAACATGTTGATTTAGTGTAACTGAGGTAGGTGTGGTAAGAGTTTTCCTGTAGTTGCAACTTTTACTTCTATCTCCACCAGTTTCCACTTGAGGAATGTGAGGGTAAAGGGGTAAAGGTTTGCAGCTCAAATTCTTCTGCCTCTACAGTTCCAATCATTAAAATTGAAATGGAAAAAACTTTTTGTGTATGTCAATATATTTATTAAATTAATTAAATTTAAATTTCATTAAAAAATTAATTCAATAACAAAGTTTTCTTGTTAAATGATTTTATTAATAATTTGATTTTCTTGGGGCTTTTATTTTGCCAAATAAAATAAAAATTCAATTCTTCCCAACCTATTTATTTAATACATTCTTGATTTTTCTTATTTCGTTTTCCAATTCATCATGTTTTTCTATAATATGTAATAAAGAAGAATGATAATGATTAAGAGAAAGAAGATATCAAGAGAAAAAATAATTATTGATTTGGATCTTCTTTACTTTTTTCTTTATCTTTTAATTTTCCCCGATCTTCTACCAAAAAATATATATTTGAATTGGTTGTTAATTGATGATATATTGTCTAAAATTATATATTAGAGGAGGAAGTAAAAAATGTTAAAATCAATAAAGTATCCATAATAATATATATAAATGATAATAAGTAATTACAGATTTATTCCTTAATGTTGATAATTCATTATTCAAAACTTTTGACTCTTTTAACTTTAGAAGAAAATATATGTATGAGAGAGAGAAAATTAGAATCAACAACATTCTTTATTCTAACCTTTCTTTCAAGCAATTCAAGTTTATTTTTTAATAATGTAATTTCAATATTATTGCTAGACATTACAAATTATGTGATTCGAACTTTTATTTAAATATTGATATTAAGGATGAGAAAAATATAAAATGATTATCGTTTCTTAAAACGTAATAAGTTCATTTAGTAACTCGTCTTAAATAATAATAATAAAGATGTCAAACAAAGTAATTCAATAATAATAATAAACAGTAATAATAACAGTAATAATAACAGTAATAATAATAATAATAATAATAATACTAATAATAATAATAAATTTAATTAACGGATTTTCATCTATTAAATTGATTTTAATGAATTAATAAATTAACCGTTATTAACTATTAATATTAATATAATTAATCCATCGTTAATAATTATTTACCATTCCTTTAGCACGCCAATTTCCAAAGTTTTCAAAAGCTGTAGAGCATCATCAGAATGTCCGATATCTTCAAAAAATTGGGTTGCATCTTTACCTACTACATCAAGTATAATTTCTTCTCCTCCTGGATGCTATTATTGATAATAATCGCATCATATTAATAAAATAAAATAATTTCCAATTAATTATTTATAAATTTATAATCAGACTGCAAAAATAACTCTGGTTTTACATCAATTAATATATCACAATAATCTTGAAGTAAAGTGAATGATGATGATATTGTCGATGATGATCGATCATGATCAGATGAAATTTTATACAAATAAATTATATTTTGTTGAATCCATTCTTTTTCTTTTGTAATTAGATACTCTTGTAAATCATCTATTAACTCATTAAAGTTTAATTCATCGCATGCTTCAAGTAATTCAAAAATTTCATTTGCCTCCAAATTATCTATATTAATTATTCCATTATAAATATACCTTTTTTTTTATAGAATAATACAATTTATATATATGTAATCAATTTTTAATATAATAAATAAATAAAATAAATAAATAAATAATAAATAAATAAATCAAATCAATCTTACATTAAAAGAATTTCAAATACTTTTGGAGAAATATTTTCTTTTACAAACAAAATAATACCATCCTCAGATCTTTTCATCCAATTATTAGATAAAGCTGCATTAAAATATGAAGATCTTGCTTTTAAAATATTGGAATGAGCTTTAAAAACTTTAACATCATCATAATCCTCACCAACCCTAATTTCTACATCGTATGAATCTGATTTATACAACAGTGTTTCTAAATCGATTAAAAGTTTATTAATATGTTTTAATGGTAAAACATCTTTGTTGGAATTTATAAAACTATTAATTAATATTGTTATATTTTCTAGAGATGAAAAACTATTAGACATTTTTGAAAATATTTATGTACGGATTTGAAAGAAAAATTTTTTTGTCAATGTTACACACCGCACATTGTCTAAAAAAAAATTATCCAATTAATCAACTCGAACAATATTCACTACGTGTAACATAGAAGAATGAATGAACCTCCAATAATTATTCAACACGTCATTAACAAAAAAGATTAAGTTAACCAATAATACTAATCCACATATCAGCTATATACAATTTTTCAAAAAAATATTTAAACGGTACGGTAAAAAAAAATTTTTTTTCTACAACTTTCTAAAAATTTACATTATTATTTAATTTAACAAAAAAATTTTAATTTTAAAAAATTTTTCTTTGCGAATTTAACTATTTAATAAATTGGCTTATATACAATTTTTTATATATTTTTAAAAAAAGCCATTTTATATAAAAATCAAGATGAAGTATCGTATTCATGTTGTAATTGCCTTTCTTTTAGTTTCAGCCATTAACGTTTGTAAGGCGGCTGAAGAAGAAGCCTCAACTTCTTCCTCTTCACCTTCACCTTCACCCTCCAGTTCACCTGTAATAGAAGTAGAAAGACCCGAATTTAAGGTATATTTATTTATGTAAATAATCAAAAATATTATTTATATAAATAATAACAAAATCATTGACTATCATCATCACCATAAAAATTTTTATATAATTTAGCCAACAACAATTGAAGCACTATTTTTAGAACAATTTACAAATGATTGGTTGAAACGATGGTCACCAAGTGAAGCTATTAAAGAGACAAAAGGCGGCGGTGAAGTGTTTAGCTATGTTGGAAAATGGGATGTCGAAGAACCAACAGTTTTTCCTGGAATCAAGAATGATTTAGGATTAGTAGTAAAATCTGCAGCTGCACATCATGCCATATCTGCTCTTTTAGATCAACCTTTAGATAACACTGGCAAAGATTTAGTCGTTCAGTAAGTAAAAAATTATAATATTATGTGATCTGTGTATTCTTACCATATCAATCGGATCAAATTTAAAAAAAAGAATTAAATTGATCGTCTTTGATTAATTGATTAATTCAAAATCAAAATCAAATCGTTTATTATATAGATACGAGGTTAAACTTCAGAATGGACTTGAATGTGGCGGAGCATATTTGAAATTGTTGACGTTATCCGAGAAGGGAATTCAAGCTGAAGAATTTTCGGATAAAACACCATATACAATTATGTTTGGACCTGACAGATGTGGAGGTACAAACAAAGTTCATTTCATATTTAGACATAAAAATCCTTTAACCGGAGAATACGAAGAAAAACATATGACTAGTGCTCCTAGTGCTAAAATAACTAAACTCAGTACTTTGTATACTCTTATCGTAAAGTAAGTATTACATGAAGTGTCAAATAATTGATATTATTATTATTCGAGTATTTTATATTTACAATATATATATATATTGTATCTGTAGACCTGATAATGATTTTGAAATTCGTATTAATAATGAGACTACAAAAACTGGAAATCTCTTAAAAGATTTTGAACCTGCAGTTAACCCACCACAGGAAATTGACGATTCAAATGGTAAATTATTATTTCGAAAAATTTTTTATTTACTTTTTAATTTAAACATTTTAAATTATTATTTTTTTTTTTTTAGATAAAAAACCTGATGACTGGATTGATGATCCAAAAATCGATGATCCAGGTTAGAATTGGAATTATGAATAGAAATAAAATGTTTTCCTTAATTGTATCTTTTTGTTTAATTATTAACACATGTAAAAATAATAAATATATATATATGTATTGATTTTTTTAAATAGACGCAAAGAAACCCGATGATTGGTATTTTTTAAACTATTAATAATATACATTCAATGTTAAATTTTAATTATATATCTAATAACGACAATGAATATTTATATATATATAGGGATGAGGATGCACCGTATGAAATCGATGATGAGGATGCGGTAAAACCAGAAGGATGGCTTGACAATGAACCATTGACAATTCCTGATCCAGAAGCCAAAAAGCCCGATGATTGGGATGATGATGAAGATGGTGATTGGGTAGCACCAACCATAACAAACCCCAAGTGTGAGGAAGCTCCAGGTTGTGGTGAATGGGTTAGACCAAAGAAAAAAAATCCCGATTATAAGGGTAAATGGTTCCCACCAAGAATTGACAATCCTGCTTATAAAGGTCCATGGGCGCCAAGAAAAATTCCAAATCCTGATTATTTTGAAGATTTAACTCCTTCTAACTTTGAAAAAATCGTAAGTTTCAATGAACCCTCAAGGACGAGTTTATTATTTATTAAATATTAAATATTAAATTGGTTCTTTTAGGCTGCTGTTGGTTTTGAATTATGGACCATGCAAAACAATATTTTATTTGATAATATTTATATTGGACATTCTATTGAAGATGCTGAAAAATTAGCCGAGGAGACATGGTCAATAAAATACGAAATCGAGAAGAAAGCAGAAGAAGCACAAGTACCACCAATCGTTGATACCGATGTAAGTATATTTTATAAGTGTTTTATCATATAAATTTAATCTATCAATTCATTAATTTATTGATGTGTGTATACGTAGAAACCAACTTCATTCACCGAGGATCCTTTCAAATACTTACAAATACACGTAAACGAATTTATTAATATATTATTCGAAGATCCTATCGAAGCAGTCAAAACTAAACCTGAAGTTGCAGGCGGTCTTGCAGCAGCAGTTCTTTTCCTTTTTTCACTAATTGGAATTTTAATGAATTTATTGGCACCATCCAAAAAGGTAAATATTATTAGTTCTTTAAAGATTGAATAAATTTTTTAAAAAATATATAACTAATCATTATTATCATTAAAGAAATCTGGTCTTCATAAGAAGAATGATGAACCAACACCTGATGATGTGGACGGTGATGATAAAAAAGAATCATC